TCTTCCTTTGAATCATGTTTGGGAAATCTTGGAAGAGTGCTACAGAGATGTGAAGACAAGCACCTAGTTCTAAATTGGGAGAAGTGCCACTTTATGGTTAGAGATGGAATAGTGCTGGACATAGAATCTCAGAAAGAGAGGCATAGAAGTTGACAAGGCCAAGATTGAAGTAATGACAAACCTTCAGCCGCCCAAGACAGTCAAAGATATCAGAAGCTTCCTAGGACATGCTGGGTTCTACAGGAGGTTTATTAAAGATTTCTCACAGATAGCAAGGCCGCTAACACGCCTATTATGCAAGGATATTAACTTTGAGTTCACAGAGGAGTGTCACAAGGCTTTCACTAAGATCAAAGAGGCATTGGTCAGTGCGCCAGTGGTTCAACCTCCAAACTGGGAACTACCTTTTGAGATAATGTGTGATGCAAGTGATTATGCAGTAGGAGCAGTGCTTGGACAAAGAAAGGACAAGAAGCTACATGTGATCTACTATGCCAGCAGAACACTTGATGAGGCACAATGCAAGTATGCCACAACAGAAAAGGAGCTTCTTGCTATTGTCTTTGCATTTGAGAAATTTCGATCATACTTGGTGGGATCGAAAGTTATAGTTCACTCTGATCATGCAGCATTAAGGTATCTTTTATCTAAGAAAGATGCCAAGCCAAGATTGTTGAGATGGATACTACTACTGCAAGAATTTGATCTTGAGATCAAGGATAGAAGAGGAGCAGATAATGGAGTAGCTGATCACCTTTCAAGGATGAGAGTTGAAGAAAATCTACCCCTTGATGATAGGCTACCTGAAGAATCAGTTTATGCAGCTGAAGCTAGCAATAAGCATGGACAACTAGGCCATCACAGGCCAGGAACAAAGATCTCATCATCAAACACACCATGGTTTCGCCACATAGCAAACTTCCTTGCAGCTGAATACCCACCACCAAACTTCTTTGGCTACAGAAAGAAGAAATTTCTGCGTGATGTAAGAAGGTACTACTGGGATGAACCTTACTTATACAAGAAATGTTCAGATGGAATGTTTAGAAGATGCATACCTGAGGAAGAGGTAGAAGGAATATTGTTTGCTTGTCATAGTTCTAGCTATGCAGGGCACTTTGCCACTTACAAGACAGTATCCAAGGTCCTACAAGCTGGATTTTGGTGGCCAACTATGTTTAAGGATGCTCATGCATTCATATCAAGATGTGATGCTTGCCAAAGAATGGGAAATATAAGCAAGAGGAATGAGATGCCACAGAACTTTATACTAGAAGTTGAAGTTTTTGATGTTTGGGGCATTGACTTTATGGGACCTTCCCAACCTCTTTTGGTGACCAATACATTCTAGTGGCAGTTGATTATGTCTCCAAATGGGTGGAAGCCATCGCCAGCCCTACTAATGATGCACAAGTGGTCATCAAGATGTTTAAATCCATCATTTTTCCAAGGTTTGGAGTGCCTAGGATAGTCATAAGTGATGGAGGTTCACATTTCATCAACAGAATCTTTGCCAACCTTTTGAAGAAGCATGGAGTCACTCACAAAGTTGCCTCTCCTTACCACCCCCAAACTAGTGGACAAGTTGAGATCTCAAACAGAGAACTCAAGAGCATACTTCAGAAGACAACAGGCAAGACAAGAAAGGATTGGAGTGCCAAACTAGATGATGCTCTATGGGCATACCGCACTGCCTTCAAAACACCACTTGGTACCACCCCCTTTCATCTTGTTTATGGTAAAGCATGTCATTTACCTGTGGAGCTGGAGTACAAAGCAGCTTGGGCTATTAAGGAGTTGAACTTCAACCTAAAGACAGCAGGAGAAAGAAGATTGATTCAGCTGAATGAGCTTGATGAGATTAGGCATCTGGCTTATGAGAATTCAAAGATCTATAAGGAGAGAACCAAAGCTTTCCATGACCGCAAGATCATCCCAAAGAACTTTGCGCCAAACGACCAAGTTCTACTATTCAACTCAAGGTTGAAACTCTTTCCAGGAAAGCTTCGCTCAAGATGGTCAGGACCATTCAGGATTAAAGAAGTTCGCCCCTATGGAGCAGTGGTACTATGGGACCCAATGGGAGGAGACTTTACAGTCAATGGACAAAGGTTAAAACCTTACCTAGCCTCCACCACCATACCACAGGAGACCACACTGGCTCTTGGCGATCCACCAGATCCTTAAGGAAGTGCCATACAGTCAAGCTAATGACTTTAAACAAAGCGCTGAATGGGAGGCAACCCATTGAAGGTCATTTCTTTTCATTTTCTTTCTTTAATTTTCTTTTTTTTGAATATTACCTCTCACCTTAATGTGATTTGCTTTCACCGGGACGGTGCAAGTTAAGTCTGGGGGGAGTTTTATTGTGTTACTAATGCATTTTTCTTTCTTTTCTTATGTTTTATTCACTTTGTTTCATGTTTTTCAAAAAGTTTTATTGAGTCAAAAACCAGTCCGGAAGTTATGAACTTGCTTTGAGAATTGAGAGTGTTATGCTAACAATCCATGACCCTAGAGCAGAAACCAGCTAAAGGCACAAGCCTAACAGAAGCTCTTACAGTGGATCGACATGCTAGCTCAGCAAAATTTCTAAGGTAACCAAGCAATCTAGAGTTAACCTCACCCTTAATCAATCTTAATTACTCTTGTCAAGGGGGTTGGCATACATGTCGACAGTTCCTTGCTTGATTTTCAATAAGATTTGTCTAATCTTTAAAGAGTTCTCCTCTCTCTCCCATCCCAAATGGTAAGTAATGTTTATGAGAAAAAGCTCAAAGAGCACAAGGAAAACAAGTAAGCATGAGGAATGCATATGTCTGTACCTTCATGTCTTATGGAATACCTTAGTCAAACAAGGAACAAGCTAAAGACTTATCCTGTGGTTGAAAGAAGGGTCAATAGAAAAAATAAAATGATACCCTAGAAAAGTAGGGATAAATTGACCTTTCAAAGTTCTGATGTGAGAAAGAGAGAGGAAAAGAACTCATTGCACTTAAAGACAATCTTGGAGAGATCAAGTGGGTAAGAACAAGTTCAATTGATCGATGTCCCCTTGATAAAGAATTCACGCTTTAAATTTATGCAAGAGGTTAGCAATAGAGAGTTTGGATTGCTGGATGAGACTAGTTGGGTTGGTATTGTTCGCTAAACTTGCAGGGTGTATGTGAAGCTAACCTTATGTTGTCTATGTTCATAGTGGAATACAGGAAAGGAACCTTTCACAGGATATTCAAAAGAGCAAGGGAGCTTCCACGTTTTCAAACCTCTTTCACGGATTTAGATTCTTTTTGCTTGAGGACAAGCAAAGATCTAAGTCTGGGGGAGTTGATATACCTCTAATTTACCACTTTTTATACTGTTTTAGCATTGTTTTCTAATGGTTTTTGGCAGGTTTTCTATCTAAAAAGGTAGTTTTACTGTGTTTATAGTGTCTAGAGTCTAAACAGGTGAAATGATGCATTTTGGAGCAAAACCATAGGATTTGCACTTCAAGCCGCTCCATGCACAAGCACCAACTTTAAGAGGGCCCAGAAAAAGATCTACTCAATGGATTTCATCAAGACCAGTTCCCTGCGTGCTCTGATTGAGTTAACTTTCCAACGCAACTGGAATGGCCTCATTTGGATGAGTAGAAAAGGAGTTACAACCAAAAGAGTGAAGACTGTCCAGACGGCTCTATCGAGAAACAGCGCCCAACCGCGCAGTCCGGCTGGCCGAGGAACGAATGTTCCGCGCTCGGCCAAAGTATCCGTCCGTCTGAAGTCTCGGCCAAAGTCCAAACCACTCGGCCGATCACACATCACGACCCGGGAAACATTGCCCGCGGTCGGCCAAGCCAACGCACGCCACACCGCGCACGACCAAAGCGCGCGAGCCGGGAACAAGCCTCGCGGCCGCGCAACCGTTCGCGTACCACGGCCGATGCATCCGTCCGAGCCGGGAAAGAACGTCCCACGTCCGGCCGAGAATTTCATCGGCCAAATTCATCCGTCGACCACGCCGGCCGACCGCGAATCCATCCGACCCGACCGTTCCGACTCGCCACGACCCGACTGTCCGGCCGATCGTCCCGACCGACCGTCCCAACGCCGCGGTCGACCCGAAGCCCTTTTGAAGCCCAAACTTTCATATTTTCAAGCCCGGCTTAACCCTAAGCCGCCTCTAGAAAGACCTAGCACTATATATATATTTTTAGCCTCTTGAGAAAGAGAGCCGCCCTTGTATTTCGATTTCATACTTTGAGTTTTATTGCAATCATGTTTTCTTCATCTCTTTGTGTTTTGCTTTGATCATGTCTGAGTAATTCACTAGTTAGGTTGTGAGATCTATCAAAGAGTTCATGGTTTGATAGGTTGTTAGAAGTCACATAGGGTTTATCATATCGCATCTTCGCCTCTGCTTGAACTTCATTGCTGCTTGCTTTTCTGATCAACTAGCATCAGATCTTAGGTTTCATATACTCTCCAAAAGCTTGCTATATAACCTGAACTAAGTATTTGGTGAGCAAAACTTCATAGACTGCGAAAGTTGATCTATGCGGGGTTGTGAACAATTGGGTCTTGAACGAATATTGCTTGATTTAATCACCTAGGGACATACCAAAAGTTTAGCGACTAGGTAGATTAACAAAGGGGTCGGAGCCTCGACAGTGGAAAGATCATACAATCGTGACCTGAGTTCTAGATAGCGCAAACCCTAGTAAACCTTCTAATATCTTGTTAACCTTGAATCTCTGCGAGTTTCTCATTGCCTAGCGTTTCCCTCTATTGATTTTCATAAACCGTTTAATTGCTGTTTGATTTCTTGTTACACAATCAAAAACCCTAAATCATACTTGTTTTCTAGCTATATTAGACTTGCAATACTCGAAGTGTACTTATCTGCTCCTTGTGTTCGATACCCGTTTACTACTTTTGATCTGTGCACTTGCAGAATCAGGGATAGGAAAAGGGAAGACCTGATCCCGCGATCACATGCCACATGGAAAAAGGTGGAGATCTCGCAAATCTGGTGAAAGAAGCTTCTCTGATTATATGGGATGAAGCTCCGATGATGCATAAGCATTGTTTTGAGTCTTTGGATCGCTCACTGGCTGATATTGTTGGTAATGAAGATGGCAAACCTTTTGGTGGAAAGGTTATTGTATTTGGAGGTGATTTTCGACAGGTTCTTCCTGTGATTCCTGGAGCCGGTAGAGCAGAAGTTGTATGCTCTGCTCTGAACTCATCTTATCTTTGGAAGCACTGCAAGGTTCTCAAGCTAACAAAAAATATGCGATTACTATCTGACAACCTGACCGCAGAAGAAGCAACTGATCTAAAGAATTTTTCTAATTGGATTCTTGATGTTGGGGATGGTAAGATAGAAGAACCTAACGATGGAGAAGCTGAAATAGATATTCCGGAAGAGTTTTTAATAACTGATGCAGAGGAACCTATCGAAGCCATAAGCAGAGAAATATATGGAGATGCTTCTGATCTACAGGACAATACAGATCCCTTATTTTTCCAAGGCAGAGCTATTCTCTGTCCCACTAACGAAGATGTCAACATGATCAATGAATACATGCTCGATAAGCTGAATGGTTAGTCTCTTTTTTTCAGTTGGATAATTCACAAATTGAGTTGCTTGCTAATGATTGAGTTTCTTGTAAGGTATATGATTAGAACGTTTTAAATGTCGTTTTCCAGGGGAGGAGAGAATCTATCTAAGCTCTGATACAATAGATCCTTGTGACACAGCCGCTATTAACGACGAGGCTCTAAGCACGGAATTCCTAAACAGCATAAGAGTAGCTGGTTTACCTAATCACGCTTTGCGACTGAAGGTTGGCTGTCCAGTTATGTTGCTCAGAAATATTGATCCCATAGGAGGTCTAATGAACGGAACGAGGTTGCAGATAACTCAATTAGCTGATTTTATGATTGAAGCTAAAGTTATAACAGGAGATAAGGTCGGTGTGAAGGTTATTATTCCTAGGCTTTTGATTACTCCATCGGACACCCTACTTCCTTTCAAGATGAGGAGAAGACAACTTCCTTTAGCTGTTGCATTCGCAATAACTATCAACAAGAGCCAGGGTCAGTCTCTATCACAGGTTGGGATATTCTTGCCAAGGCCTGTTTTCTCTCATGGACAGCTTTACGTCGCAATTTCCAGGGTAACCTCCAAGAAGGGATTGAAGATCTTGATCGTCGACAGCGAAGGGAAGCCGCAGAGGAGAACAACCAATGTTGTTTTCAAAGAGGTTTTCAAGAACCTCTAATCATTCTACTTCTATATGATCTTCTAGATTCCATTTCTAAGACATTGTTGAACTCATTATTTACATTGAGTCATATGGTAACCTATTGGTTCCACAATAATTTTTCACGGATATATTCAATCTTACTAGGATATAAAATATTTTAGTTATTATAAGTTAATTGATATCCTAAAATTTGGTAATTGCAAAATAAGATATAAGTTGTGTTAATGAATTGTACAATTGTTGCATTATGGGCCTATGAATACGAGTCTTACTCTCAATTATGTGGATCAAACACGAAAAGTAAATTTCCTTAAGTAAAATTAAAATTACGATGAGATTAATGAAATCAATATTTCAAATCTTCCCTTAGTGGGCTCACTATAGGGCCGGTTTCATCTATTTTAATTTATACATCAAGTCGATTCAGTTTACTAAGGTTGTGATATGCACAGATCATAACCAATTGTCTAATGAGATTAGATAGTGTTCAGTAAATGCCTCAAATTTCAAGAAAAGTGAAGGAAACATACCTTTGCGTGTGAAGATATCTGTATCAGAGTTCAGCTTTTCCTTTTTCCATTGAGAAGACAAATCTGCACAACCATCAATCAATGTCAATTTATTTAGAAAAATATATAGTTTCCATTTCATTGCAGGTGTAATAAAAGGAAAATAAATATAACTACGGGACGATGTTTGCCTATAAATACAAGAAACACAATGAAACCTATTCAACACAAGCAGCGTATATCTATAGATATGGCAAATATTTCAAGGGTTGTGGAGCTATCTCCTCAGAGGAGAGTGATCTTGAAGAAGTGGACCGAGATGATAGATGGTGGTGGAGAAATATTGCGTTTTCAGTTAGTTGATGAACATGTAAGTTTCTCGATCATGTATCATCTCATAACAATTGTAGATTTTAATTTATTAGTCAACTGATTTAGTAACTGAGCTAACAGAGTTTTTAAATCTGTGTCTGAAAAAACTTCAAGGATGGAAAAATACCTGCTAAAGTTAGTTCCGAGGATGGCCTATATGACCATTTCGACATGAATGTGCACGAGGGCCACTGGAAACTAATCTCCGGATTCGTCGTCCAGCTAACACCACCTGAGGAGCTTTTCTCCGAAAATCAACATACAATCGTCTTCACCGAGAATACAGACCTGCATGCAGCAAGTTGGTATTCATCAAGAGCACTATATGAATTTCAAGGACTACACAGACATAAAGAATTGCGTGTACAACTCTCATCATCCTCTTGGTAAGTCAACTTGTGGCTGGTCAATGAAATCAACATCTCCTTATATTTGTACCGTTTGTGGAATTAATAACGAAGTTTACAACTCTATCCAAAACCCTTAGACCTTATAGGCTATCTGATGACGTTGATGAGCTTAAAGTTGTGAAAGACCACAACTTTACACTAGCTAATAACAAGAAGACTTCCAGAGTTATGTTCACCATCAAAGGGCTTAGAGTAAGTTAAGCAAGCTATGTTTTCGGATTTAAAAATATAAACCTGTTATGACTTTTTCTTTATATCTGACTAATGTAATCGACATTTTTATGTTGGGGATCATAGTGGAGTAACAATGGAATGCAAAGCTTATGGAGTCTTGGCTGTTCAAATACATGATAAATGGTGGAGGCATGGTTCAACAGAAACATTCATTACAATGAGTGACTGGATGGTTTACCTAGAACAAAGTATGAAACTTTAGTCTAATGAATTATTTTACGAGTGTATCTATTTCTTATATTCAACCACTAATTGAAACAAATCATAGGAACCGGAGAGCTCAAGATTAAGGACGCTGGAGGAATATCTAGATTTCAGTTCAATGCTAACTATCAGGATGTTTTGACTTCAGCGCTGAATAGTAAGTTAGATATCTATTATCTTCAATCCTTACAGACATTAGTTCTCAAAAACATTCAATATTTACTAATACAAATGATGATAAACAAATTTCTTGCAGCTTCAATGACAGTGATGGTTCCGTTGAGGAGGTGGTTGTACTATCTCCATGAAATTCTACTATGTGATCCTTAATATCGAAATTTGTGTTGCCACATTTGTTTGCGTTTGTTTGAGAAGTTTTTATGAACTATCTACTCACCATGTTTTTCTCGCATATCTATCTAATAATAAAACTTCTGTCTACTTATTCAAGATTTGCGGACTAAGTAGTAGTTAAAAGAATATTCACGAATACAAAACCTCAAAGGAAATATACATGTAATCAAAATAATTTACATGTCAGTAGATAATTACGGAGGAAGTAACTGAAATATAAACTCTCTGGTCAGATCCTCATAATATTGGAATGTTGGTTTCGTAAATAACCATAGTGGATAGATTGTTTTTCCAACTAAGTAATAGTAAAAGAATATTCACGAACAATATTAACTGTAACGCCAAATCCGGGATTTTATCGCTAAACTGAAAAGGAAAATAGCCATAGTTACCAATAGATACGAAAATTTTGCAAAAAAATAAAAAAAAAGAAAAGGAAAAAAGCTTGACCATCACGTCGTTTAATATCAACCGACCGGATCTACTCTCTACCCTGATTTTCTTCTTTATATACGCAGATTCCTCTCCGAAGTTAGGGTTAAGAGAAGAAACAAAGTACTCTAAATCTCAAAACAGAATTTCAATGGCAAACTTCAAGAAACTTGACGATGTCTCACCTAACAAAGATGATTCGAGTGTTTTGGTTAGAGTTTCTAAGATGTGGGATACGTTGGAGGCAGATCAGGGGGAAGGCCTAAGTTTTCTTTTTGTTGACAATCAGGTTTGTTTTCAGTCTTTACAAATAATCTCATATAAAACAGATTTTTGACACAAAAGTTTTGTCCTAATGGAAGTTTATAACCAATGTCAGGGCACAAAGATGCAAGCATTCGTTGAACAAGCAAATCAGATGAATAGGTTTAAGAGATGTCTTCATGAAGGGGAATGCAAGATTCTAACCGGATTTTCAGTTATTATGGTGGATACAGAGTTCCGATTGACAGAAGCAAGAAAGAAGATTGCTCTAACGTCCAACACCGAAGTCACACCTGCAGCGGATTTCGATGTTTTTGTTCACCTAGACATTCTGCCTTATGAATATGTCTTAGACTACAGTTCTAATGTTCAATCTTCTTTTACCAGAGGTTACTTTTTCTTACTTCTCATTTTCGTTTCGTTAGTCAAAGATCCCTGTAAGGAATGTGGTTTCAATATATTAACTTTATCTATGTGTTCTTTTTGTAGATTTTCTAGGGTTTATATATGAAGTGAAGATCACCAAGCTCACGGAAGATGACTCTATTCCTAGGAACACACTAAACGATGCTCCAAAAATCACTAACTCGATAGATTTCACCCTCCAGGATAACGAGTACGTATATCTATAAGACCCTTAAGTTTCTTAACATATTTACAGTTTCTGAATTATGATTCTATATACTTGAAAATTTTCCATTTCTTTAGTGGGGTTCGAATACTTTGCCGTGCAAAGGGGCCTTAGCAGCTAAATTTTTACGATTTTGGCTCTACTATGGTAAAACGGAGACCATAGTATGTCTCTTAACTGATTGGCGGATTCTTGGGATAGACGGTTAGTATATAGAAATTTATTTAAAAGAAGCTTCCTCCCTTGACTAATACAAGTTTTTTATATTTATTGTGACTTGATGTTATAACGTATATGTCTAGATCCTGTTCATGTCGGAAGTGAAGAAGGAATCTCTACATTTGAATTCAATCCTATTGGAATCGATGAGGTTGATTACTTCACGGATATAATGTAAGAATTCTACCTATGACATTATCTAATATGTAGATTCTAAGAAGATCAAACCTTTCATATTATAGCCTACTACAAGTAAATTCGTTTCTGCAGGTGCTCTTCTGATCAAGACAGCGAGGAAGTGGAAGAACAAGAAATGGAATTCGATTACTTTAACGGTTGTAAAAGCGACAATAAAAAGTGATCTGCATAGTGGACTGTCTACGAAAATTTCCGAAGATGTTTCAGTTTAATGCACAATGTTTACTTTATGTTGTGATATAACCTATGTTTCTATTTAATGACATACCGCTTTTATCTCATAGTCTATTTCATTATCAACACAAAGAAATCATTACACAAACAATTGACAACCAGGTCTCTAAACCAACATTGAAATCAAATTTTCTAGAACCCTATCGGGAAGCAAAGAATGTTTACCTTACTATTTTGGAGTGACGTTTAATGGAATCGAGGATCAATGTTTCCGTGCAATATACTCTGCATCGATGATCACGGGAAACGCCCCTATGTCTCCTTGACAAAATGAAAATGTGTCACCAAATCTACAATTGATTTCATGCTTGACATTAAAATAGATGGTTTCCAATACGAACTCAAATTAACATTCAGTGTATGTCCGATAATTTTAAAACAGATCACAGACGTGTTATGGATTTGGTGGGTTCCGAATCATAACTAGAATCATTATCAATATACGACCAAAAAAAAGAATCAATATCAATAGGAATCCAATTACTATTAATTGCTGTCCTATCAATTGAGTTATCACCAAATCAACGGAAATGGCTATTTGATTTCGCAACGAAGATAAAATGCTGAGATTTGTGCGCAAAGGAAATCTCTTGAGATTCGGGATTTACCTGAGCTAAAGTTCGATGTCCAAAGTCTGTCGCGAGTAGAAATCGACTACTCTGGAGGCGTATGAGAAGAGCGGAGGAGAATCGAAGACATTTAGCAACTATAATCTGTTGAATCACGGGCTCAGAACCAAAAGAAACTGGTTTCGGACCTTGAAGATGAAGATCGGAAGACAAGAATGAGAGACAAAAGAAACGACAGTGTTTCTGAAAAATCTAAAATTAAGCATTGTCGGTTAACCAAGATCAAAGCAAACCGTGATCTCATGAAGCAAACCAGGATCGAAGCAAACCGTGATCACATCGGTTAACCAGGATCGAAGGAATTCGATTTCAAAAAAAATAAATTAATAAATTAAAAAAAAAACATAATAATAAAATACAATCAAATTTGGTGTACTAACTAATAGACAACATATCACCGAAAAAAACCATATAAAGACAATATAAATTTACTTTTTGAAGAAATGGTAATAAAAAAAAAAACGGAATGTCAAATGCCAAATTTTTTTTTACTCACCAAGTAAATCCTGACACCGTCGTGCAAATCGACACATATAAATGTTATACTGTTCGGTCATTGAAACCGGTTTTATTTTCTTCACTCATCTCCGAGATAGATAGCGGTAACGGCTAACAATAGATACATATATAATAACAATAACACTAATTCCTCAACATATATGACAAACACTTTACATAATTTATAACATCTCGTGCTTCCCATGTCTAGGTCTAATTGCGGTTTACGGAAGCGAAGTGTCAATATATATAAAAATCACAACATTCCATGCTTCCCAACTCTAGGTCTAATTGTGGTTTACGGAAGCTAAGTGTCAATATATATCAAAAACATACACAAATATGATTTACGGAAGCGAAGTGTCAATAATTTAAATTTGCCTATAAAAATTACAACATCCCGTGCTTCCAAGCACGGGTTAAGATCTAGTTAGGGTTAAAGAGGAAAACATCTTATTCTTTGCCTACTTTGAATTTATTAAGACACCCAAACTCTAAACTTTTTGATGATTAGCTCTATGATTTGTTCAATGGTTTTGTTGTAGACAATTTGATGATACAATTTTTAATATGTGTTGATGGTTACTTTACCCCAGATTGCGCTGTTTACAACTTTTAAGGTTATTTCTGTTTATACTGTCCGAGAAGATGATAAATTATCAAATCAAACAAATTTACCAAATGGTCATCAATATATTTTATAATTTCTTTGAGTGAGTATGAAAACATTATCTAAAATATATACGTAGACACAAATATATTCCAAATCTTATGATCTGATAAATGGAGTCAGTTTGGTTTAATACGTGACCTATTTCCAACTCATCAACAAACTTTTAAACGAAGTCATTTAGTTGGATTAGATTCATATCCTGCAAAAGAAACATGCTAACACTGTTTTCATGATGGTTGAGGAAGAGTAAAATCGCAAACTATTTATATGAATTTGGTTGTGCTAAAACTCTACTGACGACAGAAGCACCCATCCTGGAAAAAATAGGAATATAATTAAAATAGAGACTTAAATTTATGAATTAGTTATAATAATTTGTTAACTTATATATGTGTTCGGTAATAAAATATTACAAAATGGGACTATAGTAGTTTTGTGATTTTATGGATCTACAGACAACTATATATTTATCGACTATAAAATATATAGTTAATGATAATATTTTACCTTTAATAGTAATTTTTTTATTAACAAAAACTGAACAATATATTTTTAGGCGATATATATATATAATGTATTATCCTTTAGTTAATTTATCACTACTTTATTTTAAATAAGTTTGATATAATAATATTTATAGTAGAAATGATTTCAGACAATCTATTTTTACAAACTAATGTCAAGTGGATGCCCTTTTTAAGGAAAATAGCAGAAGTAGTTCAATAATTTCAAATATCAGTGTTACCCTTTCTCTCATATATCACTTAGAAAAAAATATATATTGTTATTTTAATAAGTGGATTTCTTCTCTCTGTATGTTACTATTTTGAGTTGACATCTTGTCTCATTGCAATTAGAAAAAAAATCATTTAATATTAATAACGTTAAGAAAATTATAATTTAAAAAATCATATGATATTAATTCTTAATTTTCAAACGTAACCACATTATTAAACAATCATACACGTGCAAATTATAATTACTCAAAATAATTTTGTGATATCTGCCTTTGTAAATTCTCAAAAGCAGAGAATTTGGGTTTTTCAAAACCCTCCACGCCCTGTTTACCCAATAATGCCAAGTTAAATTTGTGAAAATCCTTGAAGCCCATTCCTCCTTCATTCTTTGGTAACGATAACCTCTTCCATGAAATCCAGGAAATCTTTCGTCTTCCATTGTCATTTTTTCCCCACCAGAATTCAGAGAGATCACTATTTATTTCCTCACAAACCTGTTTCGGAAATAAAAAACAACTCATGGAATAAACTGGTTTTGATTGAGCTATAGACTTGATGAGAACTTCCTTCCCAGCTGTACTCAATAGCTGATTATACCAACCTCCTATGTTCTCCTTTAATCTTTTCACAATTCCCTTAAAAGCCTCTGATTTACTTCTTCCAAACTGCTCTGGTAAGCCTAAATATTTGCCTCCTCCTCCTACCTTATCTATTCCCAGAATTCCTTGAATTACCCTTCTTCATTGATGACCAATTCTCATACCAAAAACAATAGAAGATTTCTGAAGATTGACTTTCTGTCCCGAAATGTTTTCATAATCCCTTAAGATTTTCGCCATTCGGTGAACATCACTATTTGTTGCCTTGCATAAAAATAAGGAGTCATCCGCAAATAGGAGATGTGAAACCGGAGGGCATAATGTTGTGAGAGCCATTCCTGTAAACTCCTTTTTGTATTCAGCCTGAAATAGCATCTGAGATAGTGTTTCTGCACAAAGTAGAAATAGGTAAGGTGAAAGTAGGTTACCTTGACGAATTCCTCTCGTAGGTTTGACAGCACCATAATCTGCTCCATTAATCAATATTGAGAATGAAACTGAACGCACACAAGCGATCACCCATTTTATCCATTGTTCAGCAAACCCCATTTTCTTCATCACTGCTTCCAAAAAATTCCACTCCACTCTATCATTAGCCTTACTAATGTCTGTTTTAATAGCTATGAATTGTTCTGCACAGTTTTGTTTTGCTTTAAAAGCATGCATTAATTCATGAGCTACTAAGACATTATCAGTAATATTTCTACCAGGCACAAAAGCTGCTTGTGAATCACAGATGATAGATCCTAATATACCTTGCAGACGGGAAACCAGAAGCTTAGAAATGACTTTGTAACTTACAATACATAAGCTAATCGGATGATAATCTGCAAATTTGTCTCCTCCTGCTGGTTTTGGGATTAGACAGAGCTGAGTGTGATTGACATTTGGTTCCATAAGTCCTGTAGCAAAGAACTTCCTTACCATGAAGTAGAGATCCGATCGTATTTCGTCCCAAAATCTTTGATAAAAAGAAGCTGTGAATCCATCGTGACCGGGAGCTTTGTCTGATCCAATAGATAAAACAATTTTATCTCCATATCCGTGACTGGTCTCAGTAAGATTGCATTCATTGCTTCTGTTACTCGTTGATCCATTACTGGAATAACGTCATCAATATCCAATGTTTCTGATGCCGTGAACATTTGCTGAAAATATTCTTCTGCTACCTTTGCAATTGCCTCATCCTTGGTATGAACTATACCAGCCTCATCGACTACTCGTTTAATACAAGTTCTTGGTTTTCGTGCCTTTGTTACACCATGAAAATAGGCTGTGTTCCTATCCCCAACTTGTAACCATTTATTTCTGCTTTTTAACTTCCAGAACACCTCCTCATTGTGGAAAGCTTGATTCAAATCTGATCTTAGTTTCCTGATTTCCCAGGCTGCTCTATTTGGATCCCCGTAAAGCCATATCCAACTGACTTCGAATGGTTTGAATGTCTTCAGTTGCATTAAATTTGTGTCTTCTCTTCCATTTAGCCATTTCTCTACGACATAACTTCAGCTTTGATGAAAATTGAGGATTAGTATAATTCGTGTTGGACCAGAAATTAGCAACCATATGAACAAAATCCTCATCCTGAGCCAATCTCGTCATACCGAAACTGTCCTCTCTTCACCCTGTTCTCATACTCGATTGAGACCATCAAACGTCTGTGATCTTATTCTGCTAGATCCAAAAACTCTTTTTCTGAAACAGGGAAAGCTTGTCGCCATTCAGTGTTTGCTATAACTCGTTCCAGACAACATTCAACCACACCATCTCTAGTGTTACCAACCCAACTAAACCTGTTTCCTTTAGTCTTAATATCCTGCATATCACAAGCTAATTTGGCATCTATGGGATGAGTACAAGTAATAATTCCCTAAGACAACTAGTGTTGCAAGTGCACAACATATAATTGTAGTATTTAGGGGTCGAACCACAAGGGATTGGATTTCACACATTACATAATCATAGAGTTTAAATGATCTAAGCTAAATCAAAAGATGCAAGGGTTTGTGTTTGTTTAGAACACGCAAAAGAAATAACAATGCAATTCTATACAAGCAACATTATTGAACTATTGAAAACTCTTTTGAAAACATGAGCCAAGTCGATTGAAAAGTTTGTTAAAATCCGATTCTTTTGAACTCAAAACACTAAGGAAGGATTATTCCACTTTCGTGGTTCCAATCCCCTATGTCTCTTAAACCAATGGGCTCAGCTTTCGTTGGTCATTGTAGAGTGAGACATGCATTACATCCAAGTAATGATTGTTCACAAAACTCTTTAGGTCTACTTTCGTAGCCTAAAACGATTTGCCCATCAAATACTATATCCGGAGATATAACAAGCTTTTGGAGAGTATATCAACCTAAAATCAAGTCACTAGTTAGCTACTCTAGCAACAAGCATTAAGCATAAATAAAGATGGAGAACCATAGGGTTTCCCCTTTTAACAATCGATTTTCGATGGCCATTATATCACGTCCTCATTGGAAGGATCCATAATTCAACAATGAGTCTTAGATAGTAGATGAAGTCTCATGAATCCTTAGAGAGAGAGGCGGAGATATGACTAAACCACTCACCCTTAGGGAGAAATCTCTACTTCTAGACTATATAAATTGAAACATGCAAGCTATATACAAATGCAAAAGAAGAAAAGAAAGAAGAAGGAGACCACCTAAGTGGCTCCGAACTTTATTGAATAATGTTTCTTGTTATGCGGCTGGTCTTATTACAAGAGGCTAAAAGCAAGTATATATAGGTAGAGAGCGGGTCTAGGTCGGCAAAGTTGAGCGCGCGCAGAAGAGGAAAGTTTCCATTTCTCTTTAGCCGCTTGAGCTTGCTCTCCAAGTTCTTGAATGGGCCGCGTTCAGGCCAATGGAAGCTTCTGGATTGAGTTATGCTAGTGTCAAGACGAGCCAAGGCCTTGGGCGCGGTATCTCGGGCCTCTTGATCCATCAAAGTCTCCATGGGCTCTACTTAGGCGCTCGTCGGACATGTCTTGGTAGAAAATAAGTTCCGGTCCAACGAGTGATCCAAATGACCTCTTTCCACTTCGCCGCGGGTCATGACTCAAATATCTATCTTTCCATATAAGAATCATGACTTTTGGACGTCGGGAAGGCATGAATATGCGGTCGTACTTCGGATGCTCCGGTTTGGTCTTTAGCGAGAAATGTAGATTTGGTGCTCTAGACTTGGGAACTTGGTGATTTGACTCCTTTTGCTCCATTTTGACTCTTCTTTGCTATTTTGACCTGAATGATGCTCAAAACCAGAATATACAAGAAAACTACCTCTTGGGCTAAAAACCACATTATTTGTATTGAAAACATAGTGAAAACCTTGATAAAAACATGAAAGATATGGATATATCACAAGCCTCAAACAATCGTCTAAAATTCCTGAAGCTACTCTCAGGTCGAATCCTTCCTCCTTTCTTCTCATTGTTACCTTAAATTTCATTGAAATCCCCACAAATCATCCAAGGACCTTGACGTGTACTGGAAATCCGTTTTAATTGATCCCACAAAGCCTGTCTTTGATTTGGAATCGGATGACCGTAGACACATGACAAATAAAACTGAAAGGATTTATATTGCACATGAAGATCTACAAGACGAGAATCAGCAGAAATACAAGAAACGGAAACAACATACTTCCAGAAAACAACAAGACCTCCATTTAAACCCTAAGGTGATACAATCTTCATCTGGTCATAACCTAACTGACTTCCTATGTCGTGAACATATTCCTCACCCTTTTAAGTTTCCCTGGTTAACTAGTTAAATTCGGATTTAATTAATTAAGTGATATTTAATTAATTAAGATCCTTAAAATAATTATTTAAATTATTTTAAAATATGAAAAATTATTATTTAATTATGAGAATTATTTAATAATTGAGAAATGGAATTTTAATTATGAGAATTATTTGATAATTAAGAAATGAGATTTTAATCACTGGGAATTATTTAATAATGGGAAATTGGTATTTAATAATTATCGGAGCTTTTAAATATTATTAAATATCTAGTAATTTCGTAAATACTTATGCAACTCCATTCCAATGTGTTGCAGGTAAAAGATTTGTGTGATCGCGGAATCAAGGCTGAAGAGGGGGATGATAGGATGTTTATTGTTTTTATTTATTTTGAAATGTTTTGCTAGACTTGTTTAATTATTATTTGCTTCCGCGGAACTGATTTATTTGTTATTGATATTTATTTAATTTATTTTAAAGACCTTCGCTAGAATTGATTAGTAATTATTTAAAAAAAAATGTTGTTTGTTTCACAATCGAAAAAGTAATGGCATTTTTGTAATTAGTTGGAAAAACTAGACAAACTTAAAATGGAAAAAACAAGAAGTTAGTTTTGCATTTGACCACAATTTGTAGTCTAAAAGTGAAACAGCCCCAGTATTTTTGCTCTGTTCTTCCAAATATCAATAAATATTTTCCAGTGGAAAAACCAATTAAATTAATTAATGTAACTATTAGGGGGTAGATTTAATAATGTAATGTTGGTTTACGTCCAATCACTTCCCTTTTCTCTTTATGAAAGCTTTAACTATTTCTGTCCAGTACATGGCTTGTTAGATCTGCATTGAACGTGATTATTAATTACGGATCTCAGTTTATATAATAACATCAAAAACTCATTTTCCTCAAAAACTCAATCTCAATCTTTCTGTTCTTAACTCAAAGATCAACTACAACAATAAGATCGGACTGAAGACCAACGTACTTCTACACATTTCTGGTATTTTTTTTCTAAAACTAATCTTCGTGATTTACTTCATCAAAAGTATATGTGTTAGTCTTAGTGTCGTTGTTGTGATTCAAGATGCTTAAAGAACATAAAATTATGTTAAAAAAGGAATCGTGCATTAGAATAACTAAGATTGCTAAAGCCAATGTTTCTTATGCTTTAAGGAATGTTTATCGTTAGTCTATTCATTTTATAAGTTCATAAATTTCGTGATTTTGTTTAGATTCACCACACAAAATAATAATTCTTTTTTTTCTCAGTAAATGTCGTACAACAACATTTTTCAAGAGAGAGCATGGATGTATAGAAGATTAGATACATTAAGCAATGGCGTATCAGATGAGTTTCTCAATGGAGTACAATTATTTTTGGGTTTTGCTCAAAATCAAGTTTCCTACAAAAACAGGGGCGATCTGTTATGTCCATGTTCGAGGTGCTTAAACCGAAAGCGTTTAGATGCAAATACGGTGGGGAATCATTTATGGATTTCTATTTCATATGGACGAGTCACGGAGAGCAGTGTGGTTACACCGGTGAAGCATCGACAAGCAACATTCAGAACCATGTTGGTGAAATGAATGCAGATCACTATGAAACTTCAAGCAAAGGTATGTGACCTATATATATTGGATGTTAGATTTTTTAATTGTAACAATTTTTTGGTTGAAGAATATTATAATACTTGCAATTTTAGTTCCCTGTGCATCTATAATCAATAATAACACCTGATTGGTAAGTGCTCTGAGTGCTCTGCCGAGCAATAATTATTTCTAGAGCATTAGTGTTAAACCAATCATGCTTTGATTTTATGTTTTAAGTTCAGAGTCATTATTTTATATATGGAAATATTTTTGCTCTGCAAAGAAGATTTTTCAGAGCACAAATTTAAGGATTCTGAGCATTCTCTCTCTTCTCATTCCTTAATCTCACTTTTTATATTCTTTTTTTAATATTTCTTTCCTATAACTCTTTTATTTATTTTTAATGCTACATTTATGATATTTAATAAGAAATTATTTATAATAAAAAATTCTACAGCACTATAATCTACAACCACAGCAAAAAAATGTACAGCCTAAATTCTACAGCAAAAAATCAAAAGGTACAGACACAACCAATCAGGCTCTTAGTTTGTGGCCATCGATGTTATTGCATTCCTTGTCATATAGTTTCTGGCCATCGCATTATAACACCTAGTCCATTTACAAAGTTAAATAACATCCCCTTGTTTGTATGTTCTCGAAAAGTCTGGAAAGTTTCCACGAAACTTTTGGCCAAATATTTCACTTTCCCTCTATTTGTTTTCCCAAAATTTGCTTTCCCTTTCCAAAACTTAACCTTTTCTTCTTTTCCCTCTGCTCCAATCCACAGCTGATTCATTTCCCTCTTCTCTTTCGCGGCTCACATTTTCCTATCTCTCCTTTCGCAAAGAACGCTATAAGATCTCAGTCTCTGTCTTTCTCTCCATTTCTCTTTCACAGCAGAGAACACACAATATCCTACTCTCTCTCAATCGCTCCTTTTCTCCTTCGCCTCTAGAAAAGCCACTCATCTCGAAGGTTAGATTCTGGCTGGCTAAATCTCTAGATTGAGTTTTTTTTGGGTGAAATTATGCAATTTGGCTTTGGTTAATTGATGTTGTTCTGCAGAAATTGATTTAGGGTTAATTTTTTCTTTGAATCTCAGCTGTCTTTTGGTGAAATTGATTTAGGGTTAATTTCTTCTTTGAATCTCAGCTGTCTTTTGGTGAATTTATCTCTTCAGTTTTCAGAAATTGATGTTTATATCCTGTAATTAATTGATGGCTCTGTTCTTCTTTAGGTCTACGATGTTTCTTCTGATTATCATACCAATTTTTTTTGTCTCTAATGTCTTTCAAAACTCTGTAATCGTAGTATGTATCCACCACGTCGAGGCGGACTACCTGCAAGAGGTTATGTTGGACGAGTGACCCCTGCTCTCTCTAGGGCTGGTAATTCGTGTGCACCGCCGGGATTCCCTCTTCGTAGCATCACCGAGCTCTTGCAGGCGCCTGCACGACGAAACCAGCCGACTCTCCATCCCGAGAAGAGAGATGGCGCACTTTGGTAAGAAACCATTGTGTAAATTTATATTACATTTTAACAATAATTTCTCTTGAGTAACTTAATATTATGCCTTGTCATGATAGGATCTCCATCGAGAATGAGGTCAAATATGATATCAAAAATGCCTTTACGAATGATTTTGATGGTCCTTGGTGGAATCTTGGTGAGGTTCCTCAAAATCTGAAAGACAAGTGGTAGTCTGATTTTGTGGTAAGATTCAATATATTAAGCTTTGCCTATCCTAAATAAGAGATATGATGGTCTGATTTTCTTAAAGTTTGAAACTTTTATTTGTTAATTGTCAAGTGTTGTTCGTTCTGATTAGGGAGTGTGTGATTGACATTGAAATATGAGCTTTAAATTATAATTATCATCGTCTTATATAAAGGACACATCTTTACGTTATGAATAATTTATTTGATGTAATTGTCTTAGTCTCTTTTTCAGCAAAAGTATTATTGGGATCCAGATCATCATACCTTGGTGAAGACTCTATGGACTAAACAGCTCCGAAGGATGATCTCAAACAACATCAGCAAGGGGAAGAGACACAACAAAAGCCAAAATTTGTCTCTGACATCAATTGGAACTTGATGTGGCAACACTGGGATACACCACAAGCTGTTCATATTAGCACTACAAACTCTCAGAACCGGAAATCTGAGCGTGGTGGAGATGGGATTCATCAACATATTTCTGGTTCAAAATCGTATGCCAAGGTCAAATATGATATTGTACAACTCATCTAGTCCCTTATTGTCTTATTATCTCTTTTCTCTTTTCTAAATTAGCAAATATTATCTTGAGACTGTGTCTTTTTCTTTGTTTGCCTTATTGTCTTGTTGTATATATATGATGGAGTTGGGTGAGGAGCCATCAATCACGGACTTAGTGCGGAAGACGCAAATGAAGCTTGATGGAACTTTTGTTGACAAACGTGCAAAGATGATTGTTGATGAAGTTGAGTCGATTGTAGTTTTCCAGCAATTGAACAACATTGAACATGCTAAGATTGGCAGCCAAGAGACAAACTCACGACCCGGCCCAGAAAGGGCCTGACCTCCCTACCCTTGAATTGATGGTCTGCGAGATTAATGGCTAGAAGGGCCATTGTCTTGAGGGAGGGTATTGAGATATGTAGAGGTTAATGGGCCAGAAAGGCCTTAATCTCTAGAGAGTGTGCAAATAAAGTCTCACATCGGAAGTGGAAAGGGACCTTGAGCGATATATAAGGGACTGAGACATCTCCACCTATTGCCAATTGGTTTTAGGTTGGATTCCGAGGAAACTTAAAATGGTATCAGAGCAGGATCCGCACACTCTCACGAGCCGGTCCAAAAAGGGCCCGACCTCCCGACCCCTTGATTGATGGTCTGTGAGATTAATGGCTAGAAGCGCCATTATCTCAAGGGAGGGTATTGAGATATTGTAGAGGTTAATGGCCCATGAAGCCTTAATCTCTAGAGAGTGTGCAAAATAATGTCCCACATCGGAAAGTGGGAGGGACCTTGAATAATATATAAGGGACTGAGGCCTCTCCACCTTTAGCCAATTGGTTTTAGATTGGATGCCAAGGAAACTTAACATGGTATCAGAGCTAAGATTGGCACACTTTCATGACCCGGCCCAGAAAGGGCCCGACCCCCCGACCCTAGGATTGATGGTCTGCGAGATTAATGGCTAGAAGGGCCATTATCTCGAGGGAGGGTATTGGGGTATTGTAGAGGTTAATGGGACATGAAGCCTTAATCTCTAAAGAGTGTGCAAGATAAAGTCCCACATCGGAAAGTGGGAGGGACCTTGAATAATATATAAGGGACTGAGGCCACTCTACTGATGATAGGATTTGTGTGTGGGTGTGAAATGATATGAAATGAGATGTGGTGGAATGCAACAGTGGTATATGATGAGGTTGTAAGATGCAAACACAAACACAGTCAACAATTCCCTTTAACCATGATAGTTGTTATAGCATAAAGGGTATCAATCCAAAATGGGAGAAGTTGTTACTCTATGAGAATATGAAATCACAAGAAAGTCAAGCAAGCAGTAATAGATATGAGGTAACACTAACAACCTAAATGAAACAGAAATGAAATGCAGAAAGTAAATAAAGCAGTAGAGCAATAGCTCGACCAAGGACTCGAGTCGAGTTGGAACAGAGTACCGAGCTCGATCGAGTTTGGGGTCGAGTTGAAGTAAAAAGCAATAAAGGCAGCGACTTTAACAAGCTAGAACGAACAATAGGGTCTAAGACAGGGTTTTACAATCAGAGGAAGGCTATACTTAATCGATCTTGCTCTCAAACGACTTGTATCAAGGTATCTCTTGATATTGAGCTTCTCAATGCCTAGCTAACCCTTTCCCAAGGTGAAAGCTATCAACCAAGACTTGATCTGATACGCCCCTGGAGTAGATCGTGATTGAAGTTAAGTGAATGGACGGATCGGATCACAAAGGAACTGATGATGAATGGTTGAGCGGATTGAAAAGTGAATCGAATGGCTATACTAGAGATCCAGCGGAAGAGATCTCTAACACCACCTCCAACGTGTTGATATTACACACAACAAGTGAGAGGAAATTCTGTGGACTTAGTTGATATTACGCACAACAAGTGGAAAGAAGAATGATCAAACAAAAAGAGAGGTTTTGATAATAGATTGATTGATAAACTTCAAGAGAGAAAGGGTTTCAGTTTTAAAGGAGGCGAGAGACAAGGAAAGAGAAAGGGATGATTGGAACAAGCTCCAATCATTTTTGAAACAAACAAAAGCAATAAAAGAAACAAAGACTGGATAGACGACCCTTCAACTTCAATTGGCGCTCCCTTTCAAATCTTGGGCCGGTCCTAAACACATGGAGTAAAAGAGGGATTTGGAAGTGTGACTTGGGCCTCGTTAAAAACCTTGTCAAGAAAACCCGGTGGGACAAAACTTGACAAGGGAAAAAGAGTACACAAGTCACACTTGTCTCTTTTATCCCAAGTGTAAGGCTTTCAAACAAACCAAAGTGGTTGGCTTGTGTTCTTGTTGGTTCAAGGCTCTAGGGACTTTGCCAATTGCTTGGTTTAGTGCCTTAGTTCGTGAACGAGTGATTGGGCCAGTTGGAATGGCTAAGCTCTTCTCTGGTACAAGCTGCTCTGCTTCATGTCTATGTTTCCGCTCTACTCTACCGTTTGGTTGCGGCGTTGCTACACAAGACGTCTGATGGAGCATACCATTCTCGGTAAAGTACTTGGACAAACAGAGAAATTCTGTTCCATTATCACTACGAAGTTGTTTCACCATCTTTCCAAACTGTCGATGGACCATTGCACAAAACCATGGCAGCACCGTTTTGACTTCAGATTTGTCAAGAAGCAGGTATATCCAAACCGCTCGTGAATAATCATCTACTATAGTTAAAAAATACTTGGAACCACAAGACGACGGAATGCGATAAGGGCCCCAAAGGTCAACATGTATTAGATGAAAAAAATCTAAAGCTTTATTAGAACTATCACAAAAAACTTCTCGTGTCTGTTTTGACTTGAAACAGATTTCACAACCACCTAATTTATCAGAAACTTTTTTAACACCAGCAATAAAAGGTAAAAAATCCAAAACACCAAAGGCAGGATGTCCTAATCGTCTATGCCACAAAGTCTGATCTTCACCAGCCTTGACTCTGTAACCTCTAGCGACTGTAACATCTCGATAAAGATAAACACCATCCCGTTCCTCACCGGCTCCAATCAGGGTCTTCGTAAAACGGTCCTGCAACACACACAATGTATCAGTAAACACATCAAGACATCTTGTTTGCTTTAACAACTTAGCCACCGAAAGCAACGTGCAATTCAGATTTGGCACCAACAAGACATTAGATAAAACTATTTTATCTGACAAAAACAAGCATCCACACTGTGTTGCAAACACACGACTTCCATCTGCAAACGAAATCGGACAAGGTAAGATAGTTTTCAGATCGGTGATGATATGATCATGCCCAGCACTGGAGACATGGAACTTGAAGCTGAGCTTGAACCTGATGGAACTAAACATGTGGAGCTGGAACCTGATGGAATTAAAGACATAAAGCTTGAGGTTGAGGAGAAACTTGATGTCATGGACAAACTTGTTGCCAACCAGGAGCTTGCAGCCGAGAAGAAGCCTTTAGCTGCGCCAATGGAACTGGTTACTCATTCTGGAGTTAATCTTGAGCCAAGATGGAGAAGACATGATCCTAAACCTCCCTGGTTTTTGATCCAAGCTCAAGAGATCAGCAAATGGGCATGTGTCTCATTTGTACTCTTTTTCCCTTGTCAAGTTTTGTCCCAATGGGTTTTCTTGACAAGGTTTTTAATGAGGCAAATGGGTCACATACAAATAACCCATTTAGCTGATCAAGACCAAGGCCCATTTCCCTTCTTCAACTCTAAGTCTTGCCGCCCAGGGTCTCTTTTTTATTCAAACTTTGTCTTTAATGTTTGTGTGTTTCCAAGATGGTCATGGAGTCTGTTCCATTGACTCATCTCTCTTCTTCTCTCTTCTCTTCTCTCCCTTTATATGTTCTGGACGAATTTCCTTTTCTTTTAACCTACTTTTGAATGAAAACCTTTTCTCTTTGTTTGATCAAAGTCTCTCTTAGTGTGTTGTATGTAAGGCAACCTCTCTTAGTGTGTTATATCTAAGAAATCCCTTTTAGATTGTTGTGTGTTATATCAACAAGATAGAAGGTGGCGTTGGAGATCTCTTTCCATCAGATCTCTGGTATAAGCCATTCATTCCATTCACTCCACTCATCCATTCCTTCCATTCAATCCATTCCATCATTCATTCCATTTCCACAAGTCCGACCATTCCATCACTCCATCTCTATCCTTACTTGCTTCAAAGTGCCGATCTTCAATCAGGGGTCTATCAAGTGGTATCAGAGCCACTTTGAAGCTAAGTGTTCATCATTTTGTTTGTCAAAATCTCTATTTATGCATCTTTGTCATGAGTGTCTGTTCATCTTCCCATTCTGAAAATCGTAGATCTATTCATCACCATTGTTCCTTTGATCATTTCACTTGTTACCATCAGCATATCAACCACCCTGTTGCATGTTCCACCCTTGATTCATCATTTTAAGCATTTTGAATCTGACTGTTCATCTTCTGTTCTTGATCATCATAGATCTAGTTGCTGGAATTATTTTCGTAATTTTTTTGAGCATTCTGGCATCATATCTGGTTCATTAGCACCTTATCTGTATTTTAGAATTTATTTCATAATTTTTTAAAATTGTTTACATAATTTTTCGGAATTGTTTGCTTGTTTCTGTGAACTAGTGACTGCCGAGATTTTTGTTTGCAATTTTCAGGTGCTATGGCCTCAGAAGAAGAAGAAGAGGAAACAAGCCGAGAATCACCATCAAGCCTCAACGAAGCCATGCTTGAACAGATCAAGAAGATGATGATTGAGGAGTTTGATCGGAGAGAAAAGATTAAAGAAGGAAAGCGGAAGCAACCTAAGGATCCGGTCACATCTAAGAAGAAGCCGATTGAGGATCTTAGTGGTTACATGATGATTCCCCCATTCCATGGGAACAATGATCCGGATGTATATCTGGATTGGGAGAGGAAGTGCGAGATTACCTTCAACCGACATAACATAGCTGACATCAACCGAGTAAAACTAGCAGCTATGGAGTTCAAGTATTATGCTCTAAGTTGGTGGAAACAGGTTGAGACGGCACGAGCTTATAGTGGAGCTTATGAGATCTCTACTTGGGGAGAAATGAAAAGGGTTATGAGGCAGCGGTTCGTTCCCATTCATATCAGCGTGAGCTGCACTCTAAACTCAGGAAGCTCACTCAAGGATCCAAAACCGTTGAAGAATACTTCCAGGAGATGGAGGTTATGATGTTGAGAGCTAATGTGATTGAGGACAGAGAAGCCACTATGTCCAGGTTCCTTGGAGGGCTCAACCGCGAAATACAAGATGTTGTGGAGATGCAAAATTGTGTAGGCTTGGAAGCTATGCTGCACAAGGCTGTTCTTGCCGAACAACAGCTCAACAGGAAAGGTTCCTCACGTTTTGGTTCCAGCTCTCTCAGACAGGAGTATTCAAGAGATAGCAAGCCAGTCTTCACTCCTTAGTCTGAACCAAAACCATCAACCTATCAAGATACAGGAAAGCTTAAGACAGAGGTGACTCCTACTACCAGGGCTCGTGAGGTCAAGTGTTTCAAGTGTCAAGGGTTTGGTCACTATGCTACTGAATGTTCCAACCGCAGAGTTATGATCATCAGCGACAATGGCGAGATTGAATCTGAGGAAGAGCCTACGCCCAAGACTGTTAAGGACACAGAGGAGTATGAAGCAGTACCAGTTCTTGGTAAGCTCCCTGTGACAAGAACACTTCTCAGTGCTCAAGACCAAACAGAGGAAGAGGAGCAAAGAGAGAATCTATTTTATTTGACATGCCCTGTTCAAGATGAAGCCTGTAGTCTGATCACTCATGGAGGCAACTATACAAACGTGGCAAGTGAGACCATGGTCAAGAAACTTGGGCTTAAGTCTCAGAAGCATTCTAGCGCCAATGACCAAGAGCTAGGGCCTGAGCTTGAACCTAATCAAGAAGCTGAAGACCATGGAGAGCCAAAACCTAAGCAGCCAAACAAAACATTGAGCAATTTGTATCAAGGTACCAAAGGTGAATCTGTTCAAACCTCTTCCTGTGATTTGCAAGAAATTGTTCAAGTCCCTAGCAATGATAAGGTACATGCTAGACTCCCTCAAATTGTTTATAATGATTCCATGAGTTGTATGATGCACTTGCTTTTCTCCAAAAGTGTTGAGACAGATACAGGGTCTAGTGAAGAACAATGGAAGCAAGCAGATCTAGAAAAAGAAGCTCAATCCGACCAGATTGCACCAAAGTCTAAACCACCAGATCAACAACTACAAGGACTAAGCACTACATGCTTCATGTTGACAGAGTTTAGGGCGGAACCACACATTCAGCCTGACCCAGGTAAGTGTCTACAACCTTTTTCAATTAGTAAAACTCATGAGTTTTCTAATGTTGCAGGAAGAATAGGTTTGAATCTTAAGCTCTCCAACAAAAAGATCAGAAGTGAAATCACAATTTCTGTTGAGAAAGCACCTAATGATGAGTTAGACCATGAGTTCAATCCAGAACCGAACAACAAGTGGAAGTCAAAAACAGAACAAGGATACAGTCAAGCCATGTCTACTGCTAAGCTAAGTGAAATCTTAAACCAACACATTCATCCTGTCTTTTTAACTGTCTTAATGCACTTGTCTTGGTTTAAAGAAGTTGAGAAAGGTACAGCTGAGCAAGAGAGGCGCCTAGAAGCTCACAAAGCATTAACTTGTCATACCAAGAAGGAGTATGAGCAGCATGTTCTTGAGCCAATTGCCGCAGCTGATTCACTAATGAGCATTTTGCATAACACACATGTAAGTGAAGTTCAATACTTGACTTACTATTGGGATCATTTCATGATACATCAGAAACTTCAGAATTTTGTTTTTGAAATTCCCATTTCAAGTATAATGCACTTGTTCTTTTCCTTGAGTGTCAACAAAAGATCAGGTTTTATGGAGAAGCATAAGGAATTGGAAGAAGCAGCATCAAAGAACAACACTTCCTCATCTCACGTTCATCTCATTTCCTGTGCACCTATGGTTCTTTCTTTGAGTTCTCTATTTACCAAAGGCGAGGACAAACTGAACCAAAATCAAGAGGAGTGGCTCACATGTTCCAATCCAATTCCAGAGAAACCACCAGACTCTTATCTGCGATATCCAAAGAAGAAAACCCAAGGTCAACTAGTTTTGAGGACAAAACTTTTTCAAGAGGGAGGGGATGATATGATCATGCCCAGCACTGGAGACATGGAACTTGAAGCTGAGCTTGAACCTGATGGAGCTAAACATGTGGAGCTGGAACCTGATGGAATTAAAGACATAAAGCTTGAGGTTGAGGAGAAACTTGATGTCATGGACAAACTTGTTGCCAACTAGGAGCTTGCAGCCGAGAAGAAGCCTTTAGCTGCGCAATGGAACTGGTTACTCATTCTGGAGTTAATCTTGAGCCAAGATGGAGAAGACATGATCCTAAACCTCCCTGGTTTTTGATCCAAGCTCAAGAGATCAGCAAATGGGCATGTGTCTCATTTGTACTCTTTTTCCCTTGTCAAGTTTTGTCCCAATGGGTTTTCTTGACAAGGTTTTTAATGAGGCAAATGGGTCACATACAAATAACCCATTTAGCTGATCAAGACCAAGGCCCATTTCCCTTCTTCAACTCTAAGTCTTGCCGCCCAGGGTCTCTTTTTTATTCAAACTTTGTCTTTAATGTTTGTGTGTTTCCAAGATGGTCATGGAGTCTGTTCCATTGACTCATCTCTCTTCTTCTCTCTTCTCTTCTCTCCCTTTATATGTTCTGGACGAATTTCCTTTTCTCTTTAACCTACTTTTGAATGAAAACCTTTTCTCTTTGTTTGATCAAAGTCTCTCTTAGTGTGTTGTATGTAAGGCAACCTCTCTTAGTGTGTTATATCTAAGAAATCCCTTTTAGATTGTTGTGTGTTATATCAACAAGATAGAAGGTGGCGTTGGAGATCTCTTTCCATCAGATCTCTGGTATAAGCCATTCATTCCATTCACTCCACTCATCCATTCCTTCCATTCAATCCATTCCATCTATTCATTCCATCAATTCCACAAGTCCGACCATTCCATCACTCCATCTCTATCCTTACTTGCTTCAAAGTGCCGATCTTCAATCAGGGGTCTATCAAGTGGTATCAGAGCCACTTTGAAGCTAAGTGTTCATCATTTTGTTTGTCAAAATCTCTATTTATGCATCTTTGTCATGAGTGTCTGTTCATCTTCCCATTCTGAAAATCGTAGATCTATTCATCACCATTGTTCCTTTGATCATTTCACTTGTTACCATCAGCATATCAACCACCCTGTTGCATGTTCCACCCTTGATTCATCATTTTAAGCATTTTGAATCTGACCGTTCATCTTCTGTTCTTGATCATCATAGATCTAGTTGCTGGAATTATTTTCGTAATTTTTTTGAGCATTCTGGCATCATATCTGGTTCATTAGCACCTTATCTGTATTTTAGAATTTATTTCATAATTTTTTAAAATTGTTTACATAATTTTTCGGAATTGTTTGCTTGTTTCTGTGAACTAGTGACTGCCGAGATTTTTGTTTGCAATTTTCAGGTGCTATGGCCTCAGAAGAAGAAGAAGAGGAAACAAGCCGAGAATCACCATCAAGCCTCAACGAAGCCATGCTTGAACAGATCAAGAAGATGATGATTGAGGAGTTTGATCGGAGAGAAAAGATTAAAGAAGGAAAGCGGAAGCAACCTAAGGATCCGGTCACATCTAAGAAGAAGCCGATTGAGGATCTTAGTGGTTACATGATGATTCCCCATTCCATGGGAACAATGATCCGGATGTATATCTGGATTGGGAGAGGAAGTGCGAGATTACCTTCAACCGACATAACATAGCTGACATCAACCGAGTAAAACTAGCAGCTATGGAGTTCAAGTATTATGCTCTAAGTTGGTGGAAACAGGTTGAGACGGCACGAGCTTATAGTGGAGCTTATGAGATCTCTACTTGGGGAGAAATGAAAAGGGTTATGAGGCAGCGGTTCGTTCCCATTCACTATCAGCGTGAGCTGCACTCTAAACTCAGGAAGCTCACTCAAGAATCCAAAACCGTTGAAGAATACTTCCAGGAGATGGAGGTTATGATGTTGAGAGCTAATGTGATTGAGGACAGAGAAGCCACTATGTCCAGGTTCCTTGGAGGGCTCAACCGCGAAATACAAGATGTTGTGGAGATGCAAAATTGTGTAGGCTTGGAAGCTATGCTGCACAAGGCTGTTCTTGCCGAACAACAGCTCAACAGGAAAGGTTCCTCACGTTTTGGTTCCAGCTCTCTCAGACAGGAGTATTCAAGAGATAGCAAGCCAGTCTTCACTCCTTAGTCTGAACCAAAACCATCAACCTATCAAGATACAGGAAAGCTTAAGACAGAGGTGACTCCTACTACCAGGGCTCGTGAGGTCAAGTGTTTCAAGTGTCAAGGGTTTGGTCACTATGCTACTGAATGTTCCAACCGCAGAGTTATGATCATCAGCGACAATGGCGAGATTGAATCTGAGGAAGAGCCTACGCCCAAGACTGTTAAGGACACAGAGGAGTATGAAGCAGTACCAGTTCTTGGTAAGCTCCCTGTGACAAGAACACTTCTCAGTGCTCAAGACCAAACAGAGGAAGAGGAGCAAAGAGAGAATCTATTTTATTTGACATGCCCTGTTCAAGATGAAGCCTGTAGTCTGATCACTCATGGAGGCAACTATACAAACGTGGCAAGTGAGACCATGGTCAAGAAACTTGGGCTTAAGTCTCAGAAGCATTCTAGCGCCAATGACCAAGAGCTAGGGCCTGAGCTTGAACCTAATCAAGAAGCTGAAGACCATGGAGAGCCAAAACCTAAGCAGCCAAACAAAACATTGAGCAATTTGTATCAAGGTACCAAAGGTGAATCTGTTCAAACCTCTTCCTGTGATTTGCAAGAAATTGTTCAAGTCCCTAGCAATGATAAGGTACATGCTAGACTCCCTCAAATTGTTTATAATGATTCCATGAGTTGTATGATGCACTTGCTTTTCTCCAAAAGTGTTGAGACAGATACAGGGTCTAGTGAAGAACAATGGAAGCAAGCAGATCTAGAAAAAGAAGCTCAATCCGACCAGATTGCACCAAAGTCTAAACCACCAGATCAACAACTACAAGGACTAAGCACTACATGCTTCATGTTGACAGAGTTTAGGGCGGAACCACACATTCAGCCTGACCCAGGTAAGTGTCTACAACCTTTTTCAATTAGTAAAACTCATGAGTTTTCTAATGTTGCAGGAAGAATAGGTTTGAATCTTAAGCTCTCCAACAAAAAGATCAGAAGTGAAATCACAATTTCTGTTGAGAAAGCACCTAATGATGAGTTAGACCATGAGTTCAATCCAGAACCGAACAACAAGTGGAAGTCAAAAACAGAACAAGGATACAGTCAAGCCATGTCTACTGCTAAGCTAAGTGAAATCTTAAACCAACACATTCATCCTGTCTTTTTAACTGTCTTAATGCACTTGTCTTGGTTTAAAGAAGTTGAGAAAGGTACAGCTGAGCAAGAGAGGCGCCTAGAAGCTCACAAAGCATTAACTTGTCATACCAAGAAGGAGTATGAGCAGCATGTTCTTGAGCCAATTGCCGCAGCTGATTCACTAATGAGCATTTTGCATAACACACATGTAAGTGAAGTTCAATACTTGACTTACTATTGGGATCATTTCATGATACATCAGAAACTTCAGAATTTTGTTTTTGAAATTCCCATTTCAAGTATAATGCACTTGTTCTTTTCCTTGAGTGTCAACAAAAGATCAGGTTTTATGGAGAAGCATAAGGAATTGGAAGAAGCAGCATCAAAGAACAACACTTCCTCATCTCACGTTCATCTCATTTCCTGTGCACCTATGGTTCTTTCTTTGAGTTCTCTATTTACCAAAGGCGAGGACAAACTGAACCAAAATCAAGAGGAGTGGCTCACATGTTCCAATCCAATTCCAGAGAAACCACCAGACTCTTATCTGCGATATCCAAAGAAGAAAACCCAAGGTCAACTAGTTTTGAGGACAAAACTTTTTCAAGAGGGAGGGGATGATATGATCATGCCCAGCACTGGAGACATGGAACTTGAAGCTGAGCTTGAACCTGATGGAGCTAAACATGTGGAGCTGGAACCTGATGGAATTAAAGACATAAAGCTTGAGGTTGAGGAGAAACTTGATGTCATGGACAAACTTGTTGCCAACTAGGAGCTTGCAGCCGAGAAGAAGCCTTTAGCTGCGCGAATGGAACTGGTTACTCATTCTGGAGTTAATCTTGAGCCAAG